GTCTGTGAAGGAGAAAGGGAGCTGTGGGCAACTGGTGTGGGGGTGGGGGAGGTTAGAGCTTGAAACTGTTTGACACTGGAGACCGTTTAAGGAGACGTTCAATATTCAGCACGTTAAATGCGCTCGAAGGCAGGTCCCCAGCACATTCCTCTCTCATTCTGAACAATCTATGTGAACGACAGCAGCGGTGGCGGTGGTGGGGATGGGGTGGGGGGGGGAAGGGGATTGAGGGAGAGCGGGAGGGGGAGATGGAGGGGGGAGAGGGAGTGGGGGGGAGCGAGGAGGGTCTTCAAACCCTGTATGGGTTGACAAAGGTTACACAGCTGGTAAACTGCATCTTGTAGTCAAAAGCCTGTCAAGCTCTCTTGACACGTCTCCTCTGATCATCGACTTGCATAGACCAGGCAGGAAAATAAATCCAATGGACACTTTGGAACGTCGCCTTGTCATTTCTGTACAATATCAAGCCAGTAATTATACAGCATGACCGTCAAAACCTGACGGAGGCTTGGACTGCAGGGAGAAGCCCCTCAAGATAGAAAGGAGGAGATCAGATAAAACTCAGGGTCCTCACAAGCCCTGTTTCGCCACAAAATACACAAGTCAATTCACTTTACAGTATATGCCCTGAAGCGCTTTGGGACGTGATAAGGCGCTGTATCAAATGCAAGGATTATTACTGTTATTATTATAGAAGGCAACAAGGTCACTTTTTCCTAATGGACTTAAGAGACACACAAATCTATCCGCTCACTGCCCATTTAGTTCGGGTTTCACTGCTTGATACTAACTGCACGTCTCGGCAGCTCAAATGTACCCCCGGAATCCGATCCCACAATCGCCTAACAACCGGGTTCCTGCTTACTACCAGGGAAACAGAAGCGTATGGAGCGAGGAGACTGGCTTAAGGTTTCGCGGCACCACCCCACCGCACCACACCCCCCCCACCCCACACACCCCAGGAATCGAACCCGGACGCGGGCGAAAAAAAAAAACTTGATCGGATGCAGATGGTCAATCAATCATTAGCAATATCGTCACGGGCACCGATTAAGTTACATGTGATGGATTACAATACTCACAAACAACCTTCAGAGAGGGTGCTAGGTGATGTCACGTAGATAGGATTTCCAAGGCAACTGATCTCATTCGCTTAGCACTTCACACGGCGTGAGGGGGCGGGAGTGGGGGGGAGTGGGGGGCGTCGGGGTGGGGGGGGGGAGGGAAGGAGGAGTTGATCTCTGTGGCTGGAAGCCACACTGAGCAAACAGGGCAGTCGTCAGCTCTTCAATCTCATCCTTGAAAAAAGTGGTCTCGAGAACACTCTTCGAAAATGTCCCGTTAAAACCTCTTTGAGCTACAGCGGTGCATTCAACAGCTCGAACCCGGGAGGCAGCGGAGTCGTAGTCTACGATTGCAAACGTTTGCAGCACCCCTACTCCTCTCGTGTCAACCGTTACGTCCGTCCATGTCCTGCGGTTGCAGCTGGGAATCGGGATTTGACCCAATAATAGTAACGCGATTTCTTCGAGAACTTTGGGAGGAGTGAAAACGATTGAGGAACTAAAAAAAAAAACCACGCACCCATCAGCCAGGCTGGGTTGGTAACTCTCTCACCTCCGAGTCAGGAGATTGTGGGTTCAAGCCCTACGTTGGGATTTTAAACTCACATACTCAAAGCAGTGCTTGGAGACGTTTACGTGCGAGGGCCTGTCTGCGCCTGCTCAGGTGGATGTTGAAGATCCCGTGGCGCTGCTCGAAAAGAGAAGGGAGTTTCTCCAGGTGTCCTGGCTGACAATTGTTTTATTCGCTTCACGACCGTTAATGGGACGCATCCGCGCACAAAAGTACCTGCCGCGTCTGCCGACCAAACACGCAGTCACGAGGCTTCGCAGTCAAACGCTGCGTGGCGCTTCGAGACGTCTCGATGGCGGGATGAGGCTCTGCAACAACTTGCACAGCCCCTCGTCGCTTGTTCAAGACGTCTCAAAGCGCTTCACAGAATGTACTGCCACGTGTAATTGAGTGTGTGTCCGGTGGGCCAAACGTATCTAGGCATGCACAGGCGGGCGCACGCAGACACACCCGCATGGACACACGTACACGTGCAAAACGTGCATATGCGGCGCGCGCGCACACCCACGCACGCACGCACGCAAACACACCGACACTGACGTGCTACACCGATTCCTTTAGAGGAAATCGTTTCTCCATCGCTACCCTCTTGCAGGGGGTTCCTCTCCAGCACAGCGTCAGTCACGTTTGGGTTCCAGTTGAAACTAACTGCGACGTTAGCTGCATCCGTTGGCATCCATTAAAACTGCGCTCTTATTTGCGGGCTGCCCCAAGTGAAACGGCCGAATCCGCTCGCCAGGCCCGATAGGAACCCCAACACGGCCGGCAGAACCGTCGTAATAATTAAGAATTCCGACATCGACGCGAAAAATCGCGTGGCGCGGAAACGACGGCAAGAAAGGGGGTGGGGGGGGAATAAAAAAATAACAACGGGGTTTTTCATCCGTTCTGGGCGACAAATTGGAACAAAGGCAAGTTCAAACAACGAGTGCTTCCAGAGATTTCGCGGTCGTGTCTCTCGTGGCAAAACTAGACAGCGTTCACTTAAGGCAAACTCTGAGCTGTCAGCTCGGTTTAAAGTCTCGCCCGCCCAGGCCCAATTCTGAGAATGCCGTTCTCTGCCCCGAACTTAGAAACAACCCATTTGCAGGTATCCATAGCGACAAAACATTAATACCCGTTCCTGAGGCGCCGGTGTCTATACAGTAATAGGCTGCCAGATATTGGCGGAGGCTATTTGTAGAGGTAAAAATGACAAGTTCACTGCCAATAACCAGGAACTCTTCTGCTGTTTTGCTGCTGGCACATGTCCACACCTCATCTCTACGCTAACAAGGGGATTTTTTTTTTTTCCAGGCCAAATATGTGAGCTGAGGTTTCAAACCACTGCAGACTCGATCGGAGGCTCTACATTTTCGTCGTTGTGCGCTTGCGATAACAACAACAATCCTTACATTTGATATCTCGCTGCTTGCCTTCCCCCCCCCCACCTCCCCCCCACCCGCTCCTGATCCCAGCCCCCAAATTCCCCGACTGACCAGCGCCTTGGGACGCCCTCTCGATGCGAAAGGCGCTGTGTACAAATGTCATTTGTTTTTTTTGTCGTCGTGCCTTTCGCGTCAGGAAGATATCTCAAGAACACTTCACAGTATCTGCCGTAAAGCGAGGAGGCTGTTTTTTTTTGTAGGCGAATGTGGCAGACATTTTGCACTGTGGCTTCCCGCCATCAGACATGAAGCGCCTGATCAGTTTTGACCGGGACCCAGGGAGAAACAAACATCGCTTTTCGAGCAGCGTAATGGGATTTTTTAATGTCCAGCCGAGCAGGAAATATACTGTTTCTTGCTTCGGCCCACAAAATACAGTCGCTACACTTCGCAGTATATCCCGTGAAGCGCTTTGAGACGTCTCGAAGACGTGATAAGGCGCTGTATCAAATGCAAGGATCGTTATCGATTATTGTCAGCGGACGGGACCTCGGTTTTAACGTCACATCCAAAAGGACGACGCCTCCAACAACCACAACCAAGTGACGTTTCTATGGTGCCTTTCACGTCGGGAGGACGTCCCAAGGCGTTTTCGTATCAGGCCAACGTCTCAAAGATGCTTCACTGCGTCTACCATGAAGCCTCCGAGGTCACTAAACAAAATTGCCCTCTACAGTACACGAAAGTTACAATTAAAACAATACCATGACCATTGCATTCAAGTTATTTCCATGCAGAGAAATTGGCTGAACTTTGCAAATGGAGACATATACTGGAGCACTTAGCCCATGTCAATGGATTTGTTACGTGGAACAGAATAATCTCCCACTGACTCCTGTAAAATGTAGACGCTATATTTAGGGATTATTTCCTTTCCCTCTCGTGCATTGCTCCAAACGGCGATGCACTGGAGAGCTCTGCAAGGTAGCGATGTTTTGTGTGTGTTGCGGGAATTCTGGAAGTCCATCACCCCCAGACTCCGCTGTCTCCCAGAAGATTGATTTCAAGGTCCTCACCCTTCACGGTCCTACCATTTCCCTATCTGCTGTGAGCCATCGGCTGCTGCGTTTCGCCCACAAAATACGCAGTCAATCCACTTGACTATATCCTGTGAAGCGCTTTGAGACGTCTCAACGACGTGATAAGGCGCTCTATCAAATGCAAGAATTATTATTATTATTATTAACCATCCATCCTCCTTCTAAACCGCTCAGTTGATGCTGAGTGCCCAATTATCCAATCCTGCAATTTTCTATTGCTGTTTCTATTCTATTTTCTAAAATCTTTCTGCCTTTCGCGATCGATTTGAATTAAGTACATGTGCGTGTGCAAAAATATTAATAAATTAGCACACCAAGCACGGCGTAAAGGTTTCAAGGTTGCCAAGGCAACCCGCCGCTCCCGCTCTTTGAGAAGCTGAAAGGAAGCTGCTTTGTGTCCTACGAGGCCCAATATCTCACGGCTTTTCCGCTGCCTCCTGACTAAAGGCTGAAATAATTACATTCATTGTACGTTCATGTATCTCCTTCCTACAGGCAGTGGTTCAGTCACCATCTGGTGTCTCTGATAGAGGGAAGGCGTGCTTCAGCCTGGCTCGGTTCCTAGCTCCCTCGGTTCCAAGTCAGAAGGTTGCAGGTTCAAGCCCCACATTGGGATCTGGAACTCATACAGTCTAGACTGAGATACCAGCACTTGCTCTGTTGCAAGCGCCGGCCTTTGGATGAGACGTTAAACCAAATTCCTCTTCGCCTGTTTGTTTAAGACCCCGCTGCACTATTTGATGAGAGAAGGGAGTTTCTCCTGGTGTCCTGGCCAACAATTCCGCCAGTTTAAAAGTGATCACTCACTCCTTGGCTGTTTTGCGGGACACTGCTGCAGCGTGCAAACTGGCTGCCGCGCTTGCCTACGTCGCACACGGTCACTACGCACGAGACTTACTTTGCCCAACGGCAAGACTAGGAAAGCCCCTCCTCCACCGGACTCCACGATGATGGCCACGAACTTTGGGTTGACGGCACAAAAGGTGCTGTCCCACGTGACCTTCGACACCCGGATGTCTTCATAACACTGGTCGGCTTTCAGCGCCTGCCCGAAGACGTGGCGGAACTTGCTCTGGCGTACGACCCTGCGGCTCATGGCTGCAAGCGAAGCAAAACGATACCACATTACGTTTGTATAGTGGCTTTCACGTCAGGAGGATGTCCCAAGACTAAAACACTATTAAAGCGTGCACACATACACACGCACGCACACACACACACACACACAGACACACACACACGCACACATGTGCACAGACATCCGGCCGACCAAAAAAAAACCTTTATAAAATCAAAAAGGATGCACTAAACAACCTTCTGTCGGGGCTGAGAGATTGGTCTTAAAAGTCACTGAGCGTAATAACGATAATAATAATTAATAATCCTTGAAATCGATAGAGCACCTTATCGTATCGCACGTCGTCGAGACGTCTCAAAGCGCTTCACAGAATACGTTGCAAAGTGAAGTGAACACAGTTGGTGGCAGTGTCCCACAAGCAGTCACGGACTGAGTAACCAAACGTATTTTATTTATGCATTCATTTATTTATTTTGGAGGGATTTTTATCCCAGAAAAGCATTCAATCCATAAACAGAGGCACGTGGAGTAAAGAAATTTGCCTGAGGTTTAGGCCCTCCCGGGAACCGGGAATCGAAACCCGGGGTCCTCTCGCTCGCGAGGCGAGAGCACTAACCACTCCCCTACGGGACCCCGAGAGAGAGTTGGGCTCATCCAGGCAAGCAAAACCCTCCCAGTCTGTTGCTCGGCTCTGCGTGTCTGAAATCCAGTGCAGGATGTGCAGCTGGGAATATTTTTTTTGCAGGCAATGTAGGAAGCGAGCATCTGACCCAGATCAACACAAGCCGGATCCAAGCATAACATTCCAATGCAACATTCCCTTTTGCCGCCCATTGTACCGAACGGCTGATCAACGTGTGAAATATTTGGCAACCGGCTCTTGCGCTTATCAGTTCTAAATGATGGGATCGTTACCGGTTGGAAAGTCGGACAGAGAGCTTATTCTTGGGCCCATTAATGATCGCGGTAATCATATCAATCCGCACGTTTGATGCAGCGCCTCTCACATCAAGAGGACGGACGTCTCAGAGCGCTTCACGTGATACACCGTCAAGCGGAGTTATTATTGTGCGTTTTGGGGAGCGATGGCAAATGGGGCGGGGGGGGGGGGATTTTCCAGCAAAGTAAATCTCGCACAAGTCTGCTCTGTAATAAATCGTGTAATGGCCTAATTCCTACATCTGCCCCAGTCTCGGTCAAGAGTTTATATTCTATGGAAGTTGGACATAACTCAGACTTTCCATAAGTCACGTTAAATGCGTGGTCCCAACTGACACGACTTACGCGAGGTTGACTGTACTTGTATCCGGGTCGAACATGCGGGATTTCTTCACGGGATTTCGTTATAAAGAATCCGAGCCATGCAAACAGTAATTGGAAGTATGTCACGGTGACCTGTGAGATCCATTTAGTTAGAAATAATTTTTTTGTTTGCTGACAAAATCCGCAGTCGCCACACTTTACAGTGAGACCTGGTGAAGCACTTTGGGAGGTCCTCCCGATGCGAAAGGTGCTGATCTCAAATGCGGGGTTCACTCATTGCTATTATTACTGCACTGCGCGGGCTATTATTTGGCGGCGTCCAACATATTTGCTTTGGAAAGAAGTAGTGTTTCTTTTTCCTGGCACAAGACGTTAGTGTGTTGTCGGCTACATTTTTTTCTCACAAGTCATAATTATTCCTGGGAGGGAAGGGAAGGGGAGAGGAGAGGAGAGGAGGGGAGGTTTGTTTCAGCCACTTTTCACCTCTTGTCCTTGTTCTCCTTAAAGTCACTGGTTCCCAAAGTCCTGTTCCAGTTCCTCCAACCCACCTTCCTGGGCTTGGCTCTCGCTAACCTGCGCCTAAAAGGTTTATTACGTTGTCAGTGATGGACTGGTTCCCCGAAAGAGCTTGGCGTCTTCAGGTAAATTGGGGGCGTGATACGGCATAAAACCTCCACATGTTTAAAAACTTTCCCCCAAAAAATAACACCAATTATTTGGTCACTTAACTCACGGCTGTCTGTGGGACACGGCTGTGCGCAATTGGCTGCCGCAATTACAGCCACAAAAATATACAGTATATCCTGCGAAGCGCTTTGAGACGTCTCGAAGACGTGATATCCGTTGTATCAAATGCAAGGATTATTATTATTATCACACCGCCTCTGAACATTGCCATGTGTTACAGGGACTGCTGATATCGTGTATATATTAAGCTCAGCTCACCCCCAATATCAACACTGCATCAAACCTGGGGAGGTGTGAGTTCTCAGACACCCTGAAGTCCTATTCGACCACAAAACACACAGTCACTACACTTTAACAGTATATCCTGTGAAGCGCTTCAGGATGTCCTCCTGACGTGAAAGGCGCTGGACCAAATGTAAGGATTATTATGAGTCTGTTTTTTTCCTCTTCTGGAGTCAACACTTTTTGGATTCAGCCCCACCACACACACACATACACACACGCACACGCATGCACAAAAATACTCTTATTTACCAACAATCGCAATGATTCACTTTCACTATAATACAATAGGAAACACCTCCGTTGGCTTTAATGAATTCTGGCTGCACATCATTGAGAAAGCTGCTATTAAGAGGCATAATGAAATCAGTCAGGCAGAAGAAATGAGCTGATAACATTATCTACGCCACAATTCTTGTTACACAGAGGCTCAAGGCAAGGTGAGAATAATTATGTATAAATGTGGATTGTATTCCATTTTGATCGGAGACCAGAGGTTTGTGTCAATTTCAATGGAGTGCAAGCAGACCAGCAGCTGACTGAGTGAATGCAAAGTACGGAGGCATTAAAACAATTTGATTTTTTTTAATTTGATATCGCAATATGTAATATCAGAACAGCTCAAACCACTTCACAGGAAATTTCTGTAAGGTCCAGTGACTGCGTTAGTACTAAGAGAACGCAGTAGCTAATTTGTGCACATATTAATGGCCCACACAAAGCCATAAAATGAATGATCAATTTTATAATAATAATCCTTGCATTTGATATCGCACCTTATCACGTCTTCGAAACGTCTCAAAGCACTTCACAGGATACACTGTAAAGTGAACTGACTGTATATTTTGTGCGCGCAATCTGGCGGGGGGGATTGTTGGCCAGGATACTGGGGGGGGAAAGAATCTCCTTTCCCTTTTCCAATAGCGTCCTGGGATCTTTAATGACCGAACGGACGGCATCTCCGACAAACCAGTGCTTCCCCCTACGCTAGGGGGGACTGTGAGCTTGATGTCCTGACATGGGGTTTGAAGCCACAACCTTCTGACCCAGAGGTAAGCGCTACCAACTGAGCCAGGCTGACACCTTGTATTGCAGTAAATGGAGAAGGGGCAATAAATCAGCAGAGATAACCACGTTCTATTTATTCAACAGCGGCCTTTATTTTAGCGCATGACTGCTGCTAAAATTAATGCAAACAATTTTGCAACCATCCCCTGACTTTTCTGTTGTGACCGTGCAAATGCGAGGCTAGTGCTCCCGAAATACACCGAGCCCAAAATAAACCGGATTTCTACGACTTCATTCCAGCTCTGATTTACAACCTTGAAACCTGTGTGTGAGCGAGAGAGAGAGAGATAGACGCACACACACAGTGAAAGAGGGTGACGCAATGGGAGAGAGACACACACACACACAGGGAAAGAGACACAGAGAGTAACAGAGAGTGACACAGAGTGAGAGAGCAACACAAAGAGAGAGAGAGAGCGATAGAGAGACGAACAAAGGGAAAGAGATAACGAGCGAGATAGAGACAGACCGAGAGAGAGAGAGAGAGAGAGAGAGACAGAGAGGGAGAGAGAGAGGAGAGAGAGAGAGAGAAAAAGACGGAGAGAAGTGGCAGTCACATTCAGAAAGCCAGACACTCCCATCTGTTGCAACCTTTCATTTTGTGACCAGCGCCTCATCCCTTCCCAACGCGGGGGGCACTGCGGCCTGGCGCACAAGAATAGACACAAGAGACGAGACACAATGCAACAACAGCAGCTGTTGTTGTAAATAAAACGAGCGTCACACAGTCCTCCCCTGGTTACCAGCGACATTTACCCTAAGAAGGTAACACAGGAAACGGACACCTACTCTATCTGGGCCATTCGTGCTCCGAACCCACAATTGACAGGTCCTTAAGAGACACACTCACTGCTGTCCTCGGTGACCCCATAATTACTGTCACAGCACGAATATCGCAGCGAGGCTGTAATGAAACAGGATTGATCGAAGGCCTTGTCTGTAATGAGGATGTAAGTGGTGCATACATAAGTGGAAAGTCTCGTAAAATAATAATAATAATAATAATTCTTGTGTTTGATATAGCACCTTATCGTGCCTTCGAGACATCTCAAAGCGCTTCACCGAATATACTGTATTGACTCTATATCTCGTGCAGCTCCTCCTCCCCCCACCCCACCACAACCTCCCCCCCGGCACCACACTGAAGCATCAGCCAAGACTATGCAAGTTAAAGCCTCGACGTGGGATCTTGAACCCACAACCTTCTGGCTAAGAGAGATTTACTGACCGTTCCAGGCTGACAAGCTCCACAGCATGGCAGTGTAACACGCTCACACAAATCCTGGCTCCCTTTGATATTTATTCATTAGGATTCTCCGATGGGCTCGTTCAGTGTAGGTGCAACTCTCGAAGCTCAAATAAGCAGAGAGCCTCGAAATCGAGGCTGACATAAAGAAACACGAAAGAAAAAGAATAAAGGGCCTTTCAGCCCATTAATAATAAAAAAAAGCCTTGCGTTTGATCAAGACTGATCCTTCCACAGATTTAACTTGACTCACCTTGTACTCAATATATGTTCATTCTCTCCTATGAAAAGCTATGCTTCAATACAGTCCGAACCCCAAAGGAAATCACTGTTAATGGTTCGTATGAAGGCACAACATGCAATGGCTCATTATATAGGCAACCAGCATAGGCTGTCCTCGACCAAGTGTTAATGCTGCAATGTTCAGTCTTTTCCAAACAGTGCTGAATGTGCACACAAAGGATGGGGAGGCGA